TTGAATTGCAGGTTTGGCATTTTTCCTATTTATGCCGGCATGCTGCCGAAATTTCTTTAGAAACTTGTTTTTAAACTGAAATTAAATAGGAAAAACCAAACCTATGAATTGGATTCTAATTTTTAAAGAACCCCCAAACTGAATTATAAAATCATTGTGAAATTTAGATTTGAGTCAAGGCACACTAATAGGAAACAATTAAACATGATTCAACTTAATTCGTTTTAGGAATGAGAAATACTTCCTAAGATATTGCTTCTGTGATAAAGCTAGTGGAGAAGGTCAAGTATTAAGGCTTTAAGGAAAGCGAAGGCTAGGAGAACTGAAGGCTAGCCCAGGTTTGACATCCGAGAGGTAGGATATTCTTATCCATATCCTTGTTAGCCTCACTTTAAATGATTTTGGCCAATGAAAATGTTTTAGAACAAAGCATGTTTAAAGAAAATGATTTCAAAGGAATAGCATGAGAATGCTATTAAGTTTTCCAATGATTTTGGAAATGAGATTTTAAAGAGTATCATTTCTTAAAACGAAATATTTAAGGAATGATACAACGCATGGTGGCCACAGAGATCGGGATGTGGGAATCGCATCCTTGGGGGCAGGTCCCGAAACTCGTACGGATCCACTTCTTGTTTAGTGGAACAATGGCTCTGCACTTTTCATAGACAGACATATTTGCCGCTTCTTGTTTAGTGGTATGATGAGCTGCACACTTTCATTATACATATATTTTCTACTATAAGTATTTCCTTTTCTAAAAAGGGATGATCGGTTTCGGATGTATATCTTCGAACCGTGAGTACCTTTATTTTAAATGCTTTATAAAACTATATCCTACTGGGCCTTTCGCTCACCTTTCTTGTTTTCAAATGTATTAAACTCCTCCAGGAGACGCGAGGAGTAGTGCGGAGTTGGTAACTACTACCGGTGACGTGGACTTGACCTCGGAAAGTGAAGAGTTATCTTTCCTCTTATCTTTTATTTCAAGGCATGTATAAAAGATTATGGATTGTAAACTTAAATATTACTAGACTGTGGTTGATATCACACTTATTTTTGTTTATATTCATGTATGCTAAACACCTGTGGGAATTCCTGACTTGATACCAGGGACGTGGTTTTAAACTGGTTTGGTTAGAAATTCCACCACCCTTCTTGAAATTGAATTTCTTCTGAATAAAAGGGGGCTCGTTTGGAAATACCTGGATGTTTTAGGTTAGAAAGAAATTGAAATATTTGCTAATCTCTCTCTCAAACAGGTTTAAGTTTCTAAACGAGCCTCCACGTCACTAACCCCGGTTTGGGGGCGTGACACATACACTTTTTACAAAGATTGGAGATGGAGGAAAATTGCTCATTGTTTGCTTATATGTTGACGATCTTATTTTCACTGGAAATGATAGTGCCATGTTTGAAAAATTTAAGAGATCCATGATGGTTGAATTTGATATGTCTGATCTTGGAATGATGCACTATTTTCTTGGTATTGAAGTGAAGCAATTTGCTACTAGGATTTTTATTTCTCAAACGAGATATGTGCAAGAAATTTTAGACAAATTTCATATGACGAATTGCAATTCTGTAAGCACACCAACTGAGTTTGGTTTGAAGCTAAGAAAAAATCGAGAAGGAAAGAAAGTCGATAGTACTCTTTACAAGCAAATTGTGGGAAGTCTAATGTATTTAACAGCAACAAGGCCATACATAATGTATTCTGTGAGTCTCATTAGCAGATACATGGAGAATCCTACAGAATTGCATCTTCTGGCAGCCAAGAGGATCTTTCGGTTCTTGCAGGGAACAATTGATTTTGGTTTGCTCTACAAAAAGGGAGAAAAATCATATTTGTTTGGTTTTATTGACAGTGATTATATAGGAGATATAGATGATCGGAAGATCTTTATGCTTAGTTTTGGGGTTGTTTCATGGTCATCAAAGAAGCAGCCAATCGTCATTTTATCAACCACAGAGGCTGAATTTGTTGCTACAACTTCATGTGCATGTCAGGCTATATGGTTGAAGAAACTTCTTAAAGAGCTTCATTTCAAGAAATAAGGGCCTACTACAATTTTTTATGACAATAGCTCAGCAATCAAACTCTCCAAGAATCTTGTCCTACATGGAAGAAGCAAACACATTGACGTGAAGTATCATTTCTTAAGAGATCTCACAAGAAATGGAACACTTGATCTCATCTACTGCAGGAGTGACAACCAAGTTGCAGATATATTTATCAAGTCCCTCAAATGGCCTATGTTTCAGAAGTTAAGGAAGCTGTTTGGAGTTTGCACTTTGGTTGATTCAGTTTGAGGGAGGGACTTTAGAGTCTATTGTTATTAAACTGGTGCTATGTTTATTAGTTTAAGGGAGGGATTATTGAATTAGTCAAGATTATGTTACGTGGTCATTTAATTGATGTTGTGTCATCCTAGTTTTTAGGCGTTAAGTTTGTTTTATTTGTTTAGATGTGGTAAGTTTTTTAGGAGTAAGTTGTGCATGTTTAGACTAAGTGGTTTAGAGTATGTTGCTATTTTATTGGTCCTTTATGTTAAAGTACAACCTATTTAATTGGAGATTTATTTAATTAAAAGAGCACGCATGTTTCGGTAGGACAGTTGACAGACAGTAATTTGTATGGTTGGAGACTTGATTAGCCGCGTAGTACTAGTGGTATTAATTTGTATGTCCATATTTCTTATTATTTCTAAAGAATTTAAGGCATGTTTAGTTTGCATCAAAGGAAAATTTAAAGTAAGAACTAATTCTTTTTCTTATTTAATAATGTGTTTATTTATAAAATTAGTAATGGATTTACTAATTTTCTCGCTGAGGTCTTTTATTAAAAAAAAAGTAATGGAGATTTAGTGGGCCTTACACAATATAGAGAATAAGAAAAAGAAATATCAATCCTTATACTCCATTTAGTATTGATTCATTATCAAAAGAATGCATTTTGTTAAATTTACTTGTCTATCCTTAATGAAATATTATATAATCAATAATTATTAAATTATGTAAAAGAACATTTTAGTAATTATATTCATAATATTATTATTTTTAATTTTAATAAACATAAGAAATCAATAAGGTAGTCAAATAAACACTTAAAAAATAAATAATCTTTAATTTTATTACTTTATTTTTTTAAAAACTCATTATGTTTTGAATTACACTCATTTAAATGATATTTATTTAAAAGATTCTACCTAATATAAGATCATAGTTTCATAAACGCAATAGGTAAAGGCCTCCTGTCATACGGGTGTAGAAAAGTCCGTCCGCGTCAATCTTGACTTTTTTAGAATCTCGTTTCAATTCTGATGACTGACCTGTCGTCAACCAACAACGGGTCAAATAAGTCGGAAGGGCAGTTGATGTTAATTGCGACGCATCTTGTCCGTGCAAATGTCATCATATCATTATAATAGTGGGAACAAGCGGTGCGGTGCCTCTCCAAAAATTCCTGAACACGTAGAGTTGTCATCATGTGATTGCAGCTTCGTGTTAATTAAAGAGAGTCGGAAGATAATGTCTTTGAGTCATGATCATTTGAGGATATTAATAACATTTGATTTTATCGATTTGAATTTAAAATTTGAGTTTTGTTACAGTATAAAATTTTAAAAATTAATTATATTTAATTTTTTATTACAGTAAAATAATTTTAAGACCTCATTTATTTTATCAATTCGAGTTTAAAATTTAAATTTTACTACAGTAAAAAGCTCTCAGAAACAGTCACATCTAACTTTTTTACTACAGTAAAAAGCTATTACATAAAATCACATCTCAACTCGAATCAGCGAATTAAACGGACCCTTACACAAAATCATATCTCAACTCAAATTAATGAATTAAACAAGTCCTACTCGTAATTAATAATACATACAGTCATACGACATAAGAACGTCCGGTCTAGTTAAGTTGGGGTTTATATATACATAAACAAACCTACAATATTTTACACATTAATCTGCTGCATTAAGAACATTGACCATTTACACATTAAATTGCTCTACTAATTCTGGTCTGTCATAAGAACGGCCGGTCTAGTTAAGTTGGCGTTTATATATACCTAAATAAACCTACAATATTTTACACATTAATCTGCTGCATTAAGAACATTGACCATTTACACATTCAATTGCTCTACTAATTCTGGTCTGTCATATGACATCCAAGTCCGATCACTTCATGAGAAAGTAATCTTCCACATTAATAATTAAATTAATCTGTATTTTGAATCACAATCAGACAGCAAAGCATCAATTTCTCTCTCTCTCTCTCTCTCTCTCTCTCTCTCTATTTTGAATCACAATCGGACAGCAAATCATCATATACAGAATATATATATATATATATTGATGATATATGGAACTGCATTTGACAATGCGCTAAGGGTGGAAAGAAATAAAAAAATCAAGGTGATCAATGGCGAAAATGAAGGGCTCAACATCTACTACTACTACTAGTTTAGCCTTGAAAGCTTATTATGATATTTACAAGTTCGCGGTGTTTGTGGTGGCCGTTCTTGGAACGACGTCGTCGGCAAGGACGGAGCGGCAGACCAACGCCTACGCGACGATGATGTACATGGGGACGCCCAGGGACTACGAGTTCTACGTGGCGACACGTGTCTTGCTGAGATCGCTCTCCAGACTACACGTGGACGCCGATCTCGTCGTTATTGCCTCCCTCGACGTCCCTCTCCGTTGGGTTCATGCCCTGTAAGTCGATGCATTTACTTGCCTCTTTCTTTTCTTTTTCAAAGTTTTTTCAATTTGCTTGGTAGATCATTAGAGTCTTTTTTTATCAGCTAATTGGAGACGTCTAATTGTTTACAAACACACACGCACAGTACATATTTACATCTATAAGGATAATGTTTGTCAGGGTCTGAATATACGTATATTCTATACGGACCTGCCTATCTTCGGGGTGTATATATGTAGATCCGCCCACAGGGTTTAGGTTGAGCTGCCTAGCACGAAATGAACCGGATTCACGGATATATGTGTTTGTGTTGCAGGGAAGAGGAAGACGGAGCAAAGGTGGTACGAGTGGAAAATCTGAATAATCCATACAAGAATCGGCACAAGTTTGATTGGAGATTTCTGCTAAGCTTGAACAAGATATATGCGTGGAGCCTTGTGGAATATGACAGAGTGGTCATGCTCGATGCTGATAACCTTTTCCTTCAAAACACCGATGAGTTGTTCCACTGCGGACAATTCTGTGCAGTCTTCATTAATCCCTGCATTTTTCATACTGGCCTCTTTGTCTTGCAGGTAACACTAAATATTATACAATATTTATGAAATCACGCATGTATATGTTGGAGCAAAATTTCATTCGATACTAAATGGACATTCTTGAACAAGAAATTCGGATTATACCAGCAAATTAGTTAAGAACAACTTAAAGCACACAAATTAATTAAACGTTAAGAACAAAAGGAGTAAAAACTAAGTCTGGCTTTTTGAAAATTGTTTTCGTGTTTCTTACAATTCGAGGGAATTATAGTACAATATTGCCGCATAAAGGATTTTGATTCTCCTATTCATTAGAGTTATTCCCTAATTTATTACAATGTAACTCTTCACCTTTGGGTGTTATTAACTGATTTTCTATTCAATTAATAAAGTAAGAAAAAGAACCAGTAAAAAAATAAAATGAGGAAAAGAAATTTTTTTTTTTTTTTTTGACAATAAATTTGAATGATTGTTGCAGCCATCAATGGAGTTGTTCAAGGACATGGTTGAGGACTCAGAAAGAGGGAGAGAGAGCCGAGATGGTGCGGATCAGGGATTTATAGGAAGCTACTTTCCAGACTTAATTGATCAGCCAATGTTTCATCCAAATGCCACCGTTAAGCAGCTCAATGGATCCTACAGACTGCCTCTTGGCTACCAAATGGATGCTTCTTATTATTGTCAGTAATAGACACACACTATTAGTACTTGTTTAATTTAAACAACATATTGATGATTAGTTTCATGGTTGTAGCTAATTATGGTAACAATTTTTTCATATGAATATATATTTCAGATCTGAGACTAAAGTGGAGGGTACCTTGCGGATCGAACAGTGTGATTACCTTCCCGGGCGCACCCTGGTTGAAGCCCTGGTATTGGTGGTCTTGGCCTGTTCTGCCTTTAGGCATTTCTTGGCATGAACGACGTCGTCAAACTCTAGGGTAAGACTAACACACCTTACTCAATAGCAAATGTACTTTCCATTTCCAAATTGATCATCACTACTGTCAGCGTGTCACAAGTAGTACTCTTGAAGCACTTCCAAAGTTTCTCATACATAATTGACAGGTACGGCGCTGAGATGGTAGCAGTACTAGTCCAAACGGTGATGTATGTAGGACTTATAGCAATGACGCTTCTAGCGCGGCCCAACATCTCAAAGTTATGCTATCGGCGCTCAAATAAGAGCATAATCATTGTACAGACCTCCCTCAAATTACTAGCTATATGGTCCATTGTTGCAGCCTACATAGTGCCGTTCTTCGTCGTTCCTCGCACACTTCATCCACTATTAGGCTGGAGTCTCTACTTGCTCGGTTCGTTTGCGCTTTCCTTTGTTTCCGTCAACGCCTTTTTGCTGCCAGTGCTTCCGGTTTTGGCACCTTGGGTTGGGATATTAGGCGCACTTTTGGTGATGGCATTTCCTTGGTATCCAGACGGCGTTGTGAGGGCTATGTCCGTGTTTGGCTATGCAGTTTTCTGTGCACCATTTATATGGGTGTCTCTTGTAAAACTCATGAATTGTCTCCATGTTTCACTTGAAAAGGAATTGTTTCTCCCAAGGCTGGGTGAGTCTTCTCTCCTAATTTCACAGTTTAGCAAGCTATATTAAGGCATAAACCAGAGTTTGTTTTGTTTTGTTTTGTTTTGTTTTGTTTTGTTTTGTTTCTAGACCTCAAATATTAATTAATTAGGCTAAACCTCCTATCATAGATTAGACGTTGCTCATGTAATGTATTGAGGCATTCAAAAAGTCACTTGCTGAAGCTAATTAAAGAGGATTTATCCTGCTACTGCTTGGAGGGTTTGCAATATTGCTCCAAGTTTTGAAGTTGTAATTCCGTGGTGAGGACTTGAGCAGAGGAATTGGTTATTTATTATCCACAGCCTAATTAAGCAAGAGAGAGGCCCTTGCGATTATAGATAGTTAAAGGGTACAAAAGTAGAAAGTAAAGATTGCTAGATTTATTAAGGTCATGTTTATTTCACCAATTCAAATTTTATTACAGTAAAAATTTCTTAGAAACAGTCACATTTAACTTTTTTGTTACAGTAAAAATCTCTCAAAAACAGTCATATCTTAACTCAAATTAAAAATTTAATTCAGCGAAATAAACAGACCCTTCTTAGAGTGAGTGGGGATGTATATTTCATTTTTACTTATTGCCTTTGCCTTTTGAATGATAATTTGGAAATTGAAACAGTCCATATTCTTTGAGTTGTGTATCCAATGATTGCAAGCACAATTTTCATTTTTCTTCTTGGGAGTCGTCTCCTTTGGACAACCAACATAATCCCCGGTTGATTTTTTGATTAATAAAGTGCTATATAAAAATACAAACTAATTGTAATTGGTGAAAAAGTTTGCATCTCTTTGGATTATGAAGCATATTGCTAAAGAATTAAAGACTGTTCCAATCTTGATTTCCTAAATGGAACAAACAAAAATTACAATTGGAAATGACGGAAAAAGATTATTATTATTATTATTATTATTATTATGATTATGTAGCCACTTGAAACAAAATAGAAGCTGATAATCAATTACACAATTAGGAATCAAAACAAACGACACTGTTGAGGTGAAAAACGACAGGAACAGAAGCACTATCTACAGGGGATAATCCGACATCAGACATGAAAAGACGGGTGGGACCCTTGGTGGAGGACACAACGGATCGCTGCTCTGTATATAATTGTAATGATAGTGGCTGACCATTCTGAGCAAAGCCAAAAAAGAAGGCCCTCTTTTTCTTCTCCTTGTGATTCGAGCCCCACAGCCACACCTTATTGGCCTATCCCTACATAAATCATCATAAAAATTTATTTCGTTATATTCCACAGGGGCAAATGCGTCATAAAATCAATCTAGTTCTTGTTCGAGTTTGGATGTTTTTGCATGCTGCATAAGAATACATAATAATACTATCCGGTAACTGAAGGCGAGGGGCAACGTTCAAAAAAACTTATAGTTTGGGCCCACATATGAAGAGAGAGAGAGAGAGAGAGAGAGAGAGAGAGAGAGAGAGAGAGGTAATAATATTAATTAATACAAAATGGTATGGAATGGAACCATGCCTGGACCATCTTTCTCTCAGCACAGCAGTTAGCAGACACACTAACACTGATACATTGAGGCTAAAAATGACCGTTTATAAGGCAATGCGAACGTGATACAACAACAAGTATGTAGTAAATGTTAAATATATAGTAACTTGTATAAAATATACTATTTTGTCAGACCATCATATATTCAAGTATTGGGCGTGACACCGTAAACAAAAATAGCTAAACATGCACCAAATAGAATAAGAATTAATGAGACCAAATAACATGAAAACGACCCATATATATGAAATTAATGTGTGTGTATAGATTAGCTGTACAAGCCACAATGAGGTAGAGTTGAGTTTTTGAACGTGCATGAGTGAGGAGGGAAAAGAGAAAATGACCCTCACATGGAGAGCTTCAATTGAAGTTTAAATACCAAAAACCCCATCATATAACGGCATAAGCTGCTGGCCTAAATGTTTTTCTCTAGGTAGCTAAAAAAAAAAATGACCGTTGGAAGGACCCCATATATTGTTTCCCAAAATACAAGATATATAATTGTACTAGCCAAGAGAACTACTCTCAGATACTTAGATTGTGTGTACGGTCTTTCTCTCTCTCCCAATTGTATATTATATTACACACGCACTAAACCTCCCAACACAACTCTGCTCTCAATAATACTCCGCCAAACAAACTCTTCAACTCAGACAATAATTCTCAGCTCATTCATTCATTCTTATCTCTCTCTCTCTCTCTCTCTTCTATAATTCAGTTGTTTGATATCATTAATTTTTAATGTTAGTTTAATGGCTTCTATGATATCTTTGCTGGTGTTCCTCGTATTATGCAGTAGTTGCTTGCTATCTCATCATGCAGCGCAGGTGACCGGCTCAAGCAGGCATCGCCACAAGTGGATTGGGCCCATCGGACACCGCGTAATCACCGTTGACGTCAATGGTTCCGGCGAGTTCCGGTCGGTCCAAGCCGCCGTTGATGCAGTAGAAGAGAACAACAGACTCAACGTCACCATTCTAATCAGCCCCGGAATCTACATGTAAAATTCTCCCCCACATATTAATTGTAGTAGTACTAGCTAGCTCAAGTACTAACATTAACCATTTCCTTTTTTGGGCATGCATATGGCAAATATTAATTGAACATCATTATAAACAGCATTGCTACAGTACTTTTGCTGTCTTTTGTTCAAGCAGATTTGACAATCATTATAATTACGGCCGCTAGCTAGTACTGAACGAAAAAATAAAAAAAATAAAATAAAGTAGAGGAAAAATGTTTCGGAATTAAGGTTAGCTAACATAATTAAAAGATAGTTAGGTAGATAAGGCCTTTATTTTATATTCAAACTTTAACAATTGAGCTATATATAGACGTAGAATCTATTTAGAATATGTATATTTGACACGGTCTGCAATATGCGGTCAGAGAGAAGGTGGTGGTGCCGGCGACGAAGCGGTACATAACGTTTCAAGGCGGAGGAAGAGACGTGACAACGATTGAGTGGCATGACAGAGCCAGTGATCCTGGTCCGAATGGCCAGCAGCTGCGTACTTACAGAACCGCTTCTGTTACCGTTTTCGCCAACTATTTCTCTGCCAGAAATATCAGCTTCAAGGTAGGGATAATATTTTATAATACAAGTTATATATGTTAGAGGTGCTGGACTAAATTCATGAAAGAAAAACAAGTACAAGATATATCATAATACAATGTTTATATATGTAGAATACAGCACCGGCACCACAGCCAGGGATGCAAGGATGGCAAGCGGTGGCGTTTAGGATATCAGGGGACAAGGCCTACTTCGGTGGTTGCGGTTTCTACGGAGCCCAAGACACTCTCTGCGACGACGCCGGCCGCCATTACTTCAAGGATTGCTATATTGAAGGATCCATTGACTTCATCTTTGGCAATGCCCGTTCCATGTACAAAGTAATTAAATTAAATAATTATATTAATTCTACTAATATACATTAACAATAACGATATATATATACATATAATATGTCTTCGTCCTAGCTAGCTAATTATACATGCATGGATATTATAATTGGGTAAATATATATTGCATTAATTGCAGGACTGCGAGCTGCACTCAATAGCGAGCAAGTTCGGATCAATAGCAGCTCAGTACAGGAACTCTCCCAATGAGAAAACGGGCTTCGCCTTCGTCAACTGCAGGGTCACGGGTACAGGTCCACTTTATGTGGGTCGGGCCATGGGTCAACACGCGAGGATTGTCTACTCCATCACTTACTTTGATGACATTGTGGCCCACGGTGCCTGGGATGATGGGGATCGCATTCGCAACAACTTCAACTCAAGCAAGAACAAGTACGTAATCAACTAACCACCTTCATCCTTTTAACATATATATTCGATTAAAACCTCATATATGTAGTCTCTCTAGCTACCTATTTCTACAACTCTTTTACGTAGCTACAGCCAGTGCTAGCTGCTTTATTTTTGGTTATTCATCACCGCTAATGCACACATCATATCATATGGTAAAAAGATTTTAAGTCATAATGCATGCTTCAATATCAACCCGGCCTCATTATTTTGCTAGATTTCAAGTGGGTCCACGTGTATATTCTTTGATGTTTAAAACATCTTGTTGTGGGTGTCATAATTTGTGTAAATGAGCTTAATTCCTAGTCATTATAGAGTCAAATAGGTCGACAAAAGATTCTCACTTTATAGGAAAGAAAAGCCTAATAGAAGTCATGGTTGCCTCTCGGATATTCAGTTAGCACCGGATTGGCGGATCACTATGATTATGATTTGTGTTCCACCCAACTTGAACCCTTTTCTTTATTAAAATATAATACTATTATTAATCCACCTTCTAACAATTTAAGTTTTTAAAATGGATCGGTAAACTAACCGTTTTCACGTTCTATATTTCTTTATTTCTTTATTTATTGTTCTGTTTTTGCGATTTGGGGTACTCATGCTATGCTTCACATAGTTTCCTCTCATGACATAATGTCTTTTCATGACTTACCGAAAAAAAAAAAAAAAGTATTTTCATTATTTAAATAAAAGAACACGAAGTTAGACACATACGGCACATGGAATCCATGCCCTATTGCTTTTGATACTTTTTGTGTTGAAGACATGCTTAAATTGCAATATTTCATGGCAGGACTGTGCTTTTGGGAGTGTACAAGTGCTGGGGCCCAGGGATGGGATCACTGCGTGGTCTTTCATGGGCTCCAGAGCTGGATTTCGATACGGCCCATCGATTTCTGGTCAAGAGTTTTGTCAATGGCAGACACTGGATTGCTCCCTCTGATGCTTAGCAATATAGCCAAATTCTTTCATTCATAAGTACATATATATATATATACACACACACACACATATATTATTTAAAAAAAAAAGTCAAATACGACATCTTTCCTTTTTCTTCACTAATTCGTTTATTCAACTGTAACAAAGCGTTTCTGATGTTTGCTTCACCTATCTAATAATACACTAGAATCTGTTGTTTCAACAAAGATATGCCGTTCGTTATGCATTCAGTTCGTTTATTAGACCTATCCACGCAATTGAACCCAAGAGATACTTCTTGTTGAAAGATACAGCGCGCACATACTGGAAATGTAAACGACACGTAGCAAAAGTTGAAAAGAATTCCTTTCAAGAAGAAAAAGTAAAAAAATTGTCCTAGCCAATACCTAACAGTTTTAACATATCACATATATGGTTCGACAATAATAATCCTGAAAAAACCAAAGCAAAGGTAATAATGAATAACACCAAGAGCTTTCTTTCCATGTTCTGATTCCAGCAGCACTACCGAATCGTGTATGAGATCACATGAATCAAAACCAGGGCTTTAAAATAGCTCTGCTGAATTTCTCAAGATATTAGAGAAAAGGGG